TTGCATGTCTATTTTGTATCTACTGGTAGAATATTGTTTGTTATCCGGGGTTTTTGAAGTGCGGTGCTGGCGAAGAATATTGAAAGTACCATGGACTGGCAAAAGAACAAACAAGTCTGTCTTGGGAGAAGTACAGCCAGAATGTGCCTTAGAGGCAAGCATGGCGGACAGCCTCACATACTGGGGACATGTTATCAGGAGAGAGCCCTGGAGGAGGACATCATGCTTGGTAGAGGGCCAGCGGAAATGAGGCAGGCCCTGGACAAGATGGCTGGACGCAGCGGCTGCCACGATGGGCTCAAACCTAAGCACAATTGTGGGGGTGCTGCGGGACTGCGCAGTTTCGTTCTGTTGTCTGAGGGTTCTTGTGAGTTGGGACAAACGGGACAGCACCGAACAACACACAGGTTGTGTCTCTCCAGCTCAGCATGATCCGCCTGTGCCAGCAGGTGGCGCCGCGTGCCCCGGCGGCGGGTTTGCCTCCAGAAGGGAGTGCAGCACAAAGGCAATGGCAGTTTGACCCTTCCTTTCCAACCTTGCACTTCAGTCACAGCGACCCTGTGATGGTGCGCACTTAGAATGGGCGTGGGACTTCGTGGAAAGAAGAATCTAACTTTTATCATAAATTGCCAGCTGCTTCACCTCTTCTTTCCCAGCCACCCTTGTTTTAAAAACGGAATGCCCAAGTGCTCAAGGAGGACAGAAGTTAAGAAGTAGGTGCACGGCAAGGATTGGTTTGATTTCCTCTTCATAGCCTCCACCGCCTTGGGCACTTGGTTGACAAATAGGTTGATGTTGCTTGGTTGATGACTGATTGTTGGAATTGTGACCAGAGATAGAGACTGAGAGGCCAGGTCAGAGAAGCCAGGCCCAAGAGAGAATTCCACGGTGGACGGTACGTTTACTAGGTGCAAATGAGACCCCAAGAGAAAGAGCAGGAAAAGCTAGGTGCCTGGCACAAAGCAGATGCTCACTGAACACCCGTGGAACTGATTCAGGGCTCCTGCCGACGTGCTCGCAGTCCACAGGGTGGTGGCCTTTCCCCGACTCCACAGGTGGTAAACCAGCCCAGCGTCAGAAGGGCGCTTGCCAAGCACCTTGTGCCCAGCTCCTAAGGATAGCAGGTACGCGTTTCCTTTCAGTTTTCAAATTTCTGGATAATTTTGTCAAGCACCTTCTCATTTGTTTATCCTGAGGTACCACAAAGGATTAACTGTTATTGCTCCAATTTTACAGAAGAAATTGAGGGTCAGGGAGCGGGAAGGGAATGGCAGCCCTTCCCTCTGCCTTCTTCATTTTGAAGTGGGGTATTTTGGGGAGTTACAAGAATTCACTAAAACACATTTTCATTTGATAATTTTTTTCCTAATGGCTTCTGGGTGGCCTTAAAATGAACTTTTCTTAAACGAACACCTTAAAACAAACAGCTCCCTCCCAATTTGAGTCCCCATTCATGTTCACTTGGGTGGCTTGGGCTGCTTTAATTATGCAGAGTTAATGAGGGGAAAAAAATTCCAACCAAGATAGACCTGATACTAAACGGTGAGCTCACACCACGTGAAGGCCAACTGACACCAAGGCGCATTGTTGGGAGAGGAAGATTAGGGTGGGGGTGGGGAGACAGGAATTAAATCAAGGAAAATGGGGGGAGAAGAGAGTGACCCACAGGACCGCTCCGGCCTAGGACAGAAAAGTCAGGCTGGATTAGTGGGCACTTGTTCCTGGTGGGAGGGGTGGCTTAGATACAAAAAAGGGAAGGGAAAAAAAACACTAGGACAGTATTGCTCATTTGAATGTTACAGGTGTAACTTTTTAACTGGTAAATTTACTTTTGGTTTCATAGTCACATGAGAGCTATAAGCATATAAACCTAGTGTTATGTTTATACATAAATAATTACAACAAAATTGTCAGCAGTGGGCATCCCGGGGAATTTGTTTCCCTTCAAAGGGATTGTACACAGTCAAGCTTGAGGAACACAAGCATGTGCCTCCAGGAAGGGGGTACCCACAGCCTAACATTTCTCTTCGTGGGAAGGCGCCTCCAGAGCAGGGGTTCCCAACCTTCCTCATGCCGCGACCCTTTCATACAGTTCCTCATGTTATGGTGACCCCCAACCATACAATGATTTTCATTGCTATTTCATCACTGGGATTTTGTTACTGTTATGAATAGGTCACCCCTGTGAAAGGGTCGTTCGACCCCCAAAGGGGTCACGACCCACAGATTGAGAACCACCGCTCTAGAGCGATAGAGAGCAGGGGCCACTGCCAGGCCCTGAGCAGGGCGAGAAAAGTACTCCTTCTCATACCCCAAGCTTCCCTGCAGGTGGGACTCCAGGCTGAGGGAGCCCCCTGCCAAAGACTGACAACTGTCACCCACTTTCATCCAGAGGGCAAGAGTATGGTGGACCTCCAAAATTAGAATGACCATACCCAGGGCTTTGTGTGTGGGCACTTTCCCCTTCACCCAACTTTATGTATCTACAGCTGGTACCGGCCTCCCCTCCCACCGTTAGCCATCAGTGTTTTGGTGTGAAAACCTCTTCCCTTGTTACAGTAGTGATCTCATACAGTATGCCCTCTAGTGAGTGACTGATTTCACACAGCACAGCACCCTCCAGGTTGTAGGTGTTTTACGGGGTGTTTCACAGATTCGTTACTCTTCTTGTATGAAATACCCGTTGTGTGTTTATCTATCTTCCACTGATTAGAAGCATCTCCATCTAGTTGCTACTGTGACTAGAGCTGAGAACGTGGTGCCCATGTTTCTATCCATGTCACGGCCCTTCACCCAAGGCCTTTGCATCATTTTCTGGGGTAAAGTTAGCATGTTTTCAGTTGTATACAAGGTATGTTAACTAGCAATATGACTGCTACTGTTTTTACTTGGGGACTAGGTATGGTCTTTATATCTGATTTAGTTTATATGAAATGTCGGAAAATGGGCACAGAGATTGCATGCAGATGAGTAGCCATTAGGGGCAGGAAAGGAAATGGGAATTAACCAGAGCACAGGAGAGGGGCCAGCACCTAGGGATGTAGTAGACCCCATCCCATCGGGCCAGCCCTCGCCTCATCAGACCAGATTTCTGGACCCTAATCATTCCAAACAAGCCATGTCACCGTGGTTCAGTCTCGTCCCCTGTCCGGTCCTTAATCACAGTACTGATAAAACAGAAGGGCAGTCACAGAGGAAGGCCCTCCATGAGATGGGTAGTGACAGTGACTGCAACCACCGTTGTGGGGGCAGCCCAGGACCGGGCAGTGCTATGGACTGTACACAGGGCTGAGGAGTCTAAACAGACGACAGCACCTGACAACACAGATGGGGGCAACTGGACAGGGAAAGAGAAGATGGTGTGAAGAGGTATTTTGGGTCCTGGCTGCCCAGAACGCTTTGCTCTTTCCCCAAACTTGATCGTTGAGCCTCTCTGTTGGCGTAGCAGCAGTTGGTGGGTAGGAGTGTCATGTACAATGAATGGTGTGGACACTAGGATCATATACACCAGACCTACATACAGGTACACTGGACCTCACTGACGGCTAGCAGCTTATTCCCAGGGTGGGAGGAAACTGTGCCTGAAAACTCAGGATGTCCATCTGCCCTTCTGCTCTCTCCTCAGACTAGCATCATTGATCCCGCTCATAAGACAGAGAAGAGGCAACTCCCCCAGTCCTGGGTAGAAGGGGTATGCAGTGAGGTCAAGGATGGGTCAGGGAGCTACCTCCCCGGACCTTGATAAATAGAACCCCCACCCCACCCCTTCAGCTCTCAGCTCTCAAGACCCACGTGAGCCAAGAGCAACACAACAGCTGGGTGGAGTGAGCCAGGGAAGCACACAGGGCTCAGTGGATGATCTTGGTTTTTCTGTAGCTGATCTCCATACCTCCCGGCCCCCGAGCCCCACAGAATACAGGCCCGTCCTCCAGAAGCCCCACTGGATTAGTCTCCTCGATGAGCACTGTGCACTTACCTGTGCAGGAATCAGTGGTGCCCAGACGCCACCTGAATTACCTCTCCTGGGAGGACAAAGGAGGTTAAGTTTGGGCCCTAGAAACCCCATGAGAGGGGGCATGTGAGCAGTGGCTTCCCCAGCAAAGGTAGGAACAGATGTTGGGGTTCTGTTGTCTCAGAACCTCACTGCCTCAGAAGGTAACCTTTCCCCTCAAATCCAGCCTTCCAGCTTCTTGAGGCCCACTACCTATCAGCCACACTCATGGTCTAGTACATTTCGACAGCACTGTCCTTAGAAAAGGCTTTATCATCAGTGTGTACAAATCGACTCCACATTTCTGGAAGCAGATGGACCTATGCAGGCTCAGGCCGAGTGCAAGTGGCAGCAGAAATGCACACACCTCAGCACTAGCACTTCCATAGATTAGGGTCACGGCCCAGGTGCCTAAAGGGAGGGTGAGGCCGGGCCATCATCTTTCTCAGAAAGGTCTTAATCCTGCTTGCGCGAGAGGCCGGGCCAAATGGGACGATCGGGATAGCCAGGGGAATCAGACACACACTCAAGTGCCACCAGAGGAGGGTCCACTTTACAGTGAACTCCCAGCTTTTCCATGCGAGTGGCCAGAGCAGGACTTTGATAATAATCTTCAGGCTCAGGGAAGCCTAGGTTGGGGGATGGAGGGGCTATTGGCCAAAGGGCTTAAAAAGCTAAGCTCTTTTGGGTCCAAGAAAGAAGCTGGGATGCTAGCATGTAATGAACTAAGGTCCAAACTACAGCTCAACGAGTCATCCTGCCAAGGGAGGCAGTCTAGGGAGGCCCTGTGGGTAAGGGCTGCGATTAGAGGTTCCCCTCCAAATAGGAGCACGCCTAGACCCTACAGAGTCCCAAACCAGGGCAGTCTCTCTGCTTGACGTGCTCTCTCCAACCACCATTCTACTCCACCTAGGTACACACACCCCCTCCACCTTCCCCACCTACTGTGTGGCAACTACTGCCACCAGGCCCATCCCTCTACCCCAAAGAAACCCAGACAGCTCACAAGTGCATCAATCAACCTTTAATGTCCAAAAGAGGCGTGGATGCAGAGCACAGGAGATGTGGCAGGGTCTCGGCCCCTGCTCCAGAAATGAGGGAGATGAACACAGACTGACACGTCCAACTGGCCACCCATGTCTGAGAGGGAAGGGAAACACAGATTTGGACAGCCATAAAAAAATAAAACAAAATCTAAAACCAAGCATTCAATCTGCCCCAGACAGTGCAGGGGGTTTGACAGTGGGAACTCCGTCCGTCCGTCACTACCGGTCCCCACCCTCCCCTCGGCCAGCTCCGCACACAGGGGGCTGGCTTCTCCTGCAGAGGGACAAACAGGAGCTGGTTCCTCCACAGTGTGAAACCCACCCTCGCTCCCCGAGACTGGGCAGCTCCATCAGCAGGGAACCCACGCCCTCACCCAGACGAGGGTCTGCAGCCTCGACTTCCTCCCACTCGGGGCTCTGCTCCCCCTCCACACCCAGAGCCCCTCAGCGCCTCCATGTCCAAACCCACCGGCACTTTCCCTCTCCGTGAGACCCGCCCCAGCACAGTGACAGCCCAGCCATCTCTTCCCAGGGTGCTTGCTAAAGCCTTCATGGGTGCAGACAGCAGCAGGACACGAGGGCCTGAGCCAGGGGCTGACACCTGTCCTCACCCCAAACACCTCCAGAGGGTAGCATCAAAAAGCCCACTTGGAACTGTTCCCCCATCTACCCACATCACCCCCAGATTCCGTACTGTCCTACCCCTCCCTCCCCTGTACCCTCAAGCAGCACACACATACACACACACAACACACACGGAGGAGAATCACGGAAAGACACTGATTTGGTTTGATTGCTAAGACCTAACTAAGGAACTACGGTCACCAGAAGTCCCCTTGTCAGCCACCTGGTAGGGGGCTGCTCCAAGAGAACTCCAAAGGAGTGAGAACACCGAGGGCAAAGCCGGGTGCAGACAGGAGGGGAGGAGAGAGAATGAAAAGAAAAATCATCAGGCCAAGCCTACTCCCAACATTCTCCTAGCGCGGCACTGGCAGAACACAGAAGGTAACCCACAGAGACACAGCCCTTACTTAGAAACTCTCTGACAAAGACAGCAAGACAAGTCTGCTCCCCACTCCCACACACACACACACCACGCACACGTCTCAGGGCCCCTTGAAGAATCTACCCCACCCCCACCCTCTGCCCCGAGTCGCAGAATCACAGTTCAGTGGAATAGTCCCCCCTTCCTATCCCTCTCCCTCTCTCCTTGCCAACCCCTATCCCTCCCCGTCTGCCCCCCACTGGAGGAGCAAGCTGCATGGCTTTCCTTCCACCTCCCGCAGACACGCCAGCCTCTTTCCCCAGCCCTCCTGGCTTAGGGCCTTTGTGGAGGGCTCATGACTGTGGATGGGCAGAGAAAGAGAAAAGGGAGGGGAAGAGAGAGGTTTTCTAGTGCAATACAACCAAAACAAAAAACAAAAACAACCAAAAAACAGTTTTTTTAAAGTCTTGAAAATGAAACAAAGCAGCCTTCTTCCCCAGGCAACTCAACAGAAAGAAGTTTGGTTTTGTTTACTGCGACACACACGTGAAATCGGGTACACAGTCCATGCAGTAGCGCAGCCATTTGAAGACATCCTGGAGCTGGCCCCCAAGGCCAGACAGTCCCGCCGGCCTGCCATCGCCACCGCTGCCTTCCCTCGGTCCCTAGCCGGACTTGAAGAGGAGGATCGCAACCTGACCCAAGTAAAAGTAGATGAAGTGCTTTGTCTCGTGTGTGACATAGCTGCCAAAATTCCGGCCCACGATACAATGCCAGGTAGGGTTATATTTCTTGTCAAATTCCTGAAAGAGGGATGAAGAGGGGAGAGGTGATTAGAGCAGCTGCAGGGTGAGCAATCAGAATGGGAGTCTCCCCCAAACCCCACATCTGTCACCACCTCCGCCCAGCCCAGGCCTCCCTCAGGAACCTCAGGGCTCAGATTCTGGGGCTGCTAGAACACTCCTCCCTCATTAAAAATTAACACCACAAAGGCTCCATCATTGCTCTCCACTAAGCCTCTAGTACTTTAGAGCCCTCATCTCTCTTCCCTTCCTCCCTCTCTCTGCCTACTTCTACTCACCAGAATCAGAGAGGCCAAGGAATTCAGGATCCTTCCACCATTACACAGCAAAAGCGCAGATGGGGGAAGCAAGTTTCCCTGCCCCGCGGCCTCCTCCCTTACTAGAACACCAAACCCGGTCACTCAGGGAGAGGACGACCAAGCATGGAGAGCAGGAAGTCCGGTGTCGATGTTCAAGGCACATCCGGTGCCAGCAGCCTGGGCTGCTCGCTCCAGAACCAGGGCCTCAGTCACCGTAACAATCCCCTCCCTTCTCTTAGGGGCAGAGGTTCACTTCAGTGTCAAAACCACCCAGGAAATCCCTGAGACTGAAGCAGGCAGGCAGTTCTCGACCACTCTAGATGCAGCATGTAGCAGGAAACAGATGCTCAGTTCTAGATGGATCCGGCCACAGCTATGCAAGGGCAGCAGCTTACCCTACCCCTGCAGCCCATCCCTACTACCAGTCCTGCAGCTCTGTCCAGGTGCTTAACACACAACTTAATTTGCTCAGTCTCCTCACAGCGGAGAGTCACCAAACCCAGCCTCAGTCCTGACCCTAGACTACGTAACTCAGGAGAACAGGCAGTGCCCAGGTCCCACTGCCCTCACAAGCAACATGAGCTGGGTACATCAGACGACCTGTGGACTCTTCTTGACAGAGGCACCAGGAGCCTAGTCGGACCATCCCTCAGCAGGAAGCCAGCACCCCAGCACCCTCCCTTGGTGCTGTACATAGAGCTTCTCTCCTAGGAAGCCAGCATCCTCTTTTCATCCCATCCACAAGGATGGGAGAGCTTTTTGTTTGTTTGTTTTTGTTTTGTTTTTAATAACATTTTATTAGGGGCTCATACAACTGTTATCCCAATCCATACACACATCAATTGTGTAAAGCGCATTTGTACATCGTTTCTCAAAACATTTTCTCTCCATTTAAACCCCCGACATTAGGTCCTCATTTTTCCCCTCCCTCCCCACTCCCCCCTCCCGCATGAGCCCTTGGGGAGAGCTTTTTTTAAGCCAAAGGAAACCCTACCACTTCTCTGGCCCAAGAGCTACCAGCTCAAACACCTTGGAGTGGCGGAGCTGAGAAGTCAAAATGCCCCATCGGACACAGGCCCTGGCTTGCAGTCAGTGAACTCAAGACGCATCTTTCCACTTCTAACTTCCGCTGCTTCCTTGCTCTGTTACCCACCCACTGACTCAGGATTGTTAGGGACCAATCTTATACCCTCCATATTACTCAACTATTAAAAAGATTACATAGTCAAGGCCGCCGTTTCCTTAATGTAGAAAAGATGGGGATGGTAGTATTTGTTAGGACCATATATACTGGTGTAGGAGCCGAGTTTTTCAGCACATTTTTAATGCAGTTTTTGTGGTAAAATTAGGTGCCTTGGCTGATAATCAGGTTGGCTTATACTCAAGTATATATGGTACTTTTTATGAGAAAGAAAAAAACCCTTACATAATGAAGGTAATCCTAGGGATGCCTCACTTTCGATGATACTATACACTTAAAGATAACTTACGATCTTCTATTATCTGTTCAAAAACCCTTGATCTTCATTTCGTAGTAATAAATGAAGTCCTTTATACTTGGTCCCGAGTGTTTCCTCCAATGGCACAGTCACATAACCACCTGTGACCGACTGCACGCGCTTGTAGAGAGCCCACAGAGAATTCCTAGGTGAACACTCTGGCCAGTCAGGCTCACCACCCCCTAATTTGCCTCCGCTTTGTCTGCATGGGACAGATCTGCTTGGCCCCCAGATCCAGCCTTCCCCATTGCACACCAGCCCCACCCCCACCTAAGCTCTCCCAGTGCACCTTCTTGATATAGGCAGCAATGTCCTTCTCTATGTTGTACTTCTCCATGGCCTGCGTAGCGCAGTCAACGGCATCCTGTTGCATGTCCTCAGACATGTCTGCGTTCTTGATCACTGCCTTCCGGTCAGACATCGTGACACTGCAGAAGGAGCAGAGAAGTGAGGTGTCGGCCGAACTCTGGACAATGGATGCCAGCTGCCAAGTGGGGGAGGGAGTGCAGAAGACTTGGGCAACAGGCATGAGGCACTAAGAGAGTGAGCCCCCTACCTCAGCTCATGGCCCCCACCCCTGGGAAATTTGGAACAAACAGTGAAAAAGGTGTTAGTCCTCAGTTCTTATCTATACAAAGATATTTTCAATATCCTGCTGTCAGGAGCCAAGATAATAATATACCACCTACTAGATGTGTCCTTAGATAAGTTACTTAACCTTCTTTGGGCTTCCATGTTACCTGTAAACTGGGAATCAAGGGACTGTCCTAATGGTGGCATAACCCCTAAATACAATTAGCCCCCCATGATATGGCCACTGAGACAGACGTACCACAGTGGGAGACGAACCCCGACAGGAGCTGAAGGAAGGTGAGCTCCTATAGCAGGCTGCCTTTGGTCCCTGACTTTGCACTGTGTGGCCTTAGACAACTCACCAGCTTTCCAGCATTTGATTATTTCCACTTTAGCAATGAGGGTAGGCTTATTATCTGTCAGGTTGTTACAGCAACTAAATAAGGTTATATGACCGCATCTGTAAATAAGGGCCACCTGTCACACAGGAGTTGTTAAACGATGTCCCATTGGGTAGAATCAGCCCACCACCCATTTTTGTTAATAAAGCTTTATAGGACAGGCTTTGTTCAATCATTTACATAGTGACTGTGGCTACTTTGACCCTTCGCCTGACAATAGCAGAACTGAGTAGCTGCAACAAAGGCTGTATGGTAAAAAGCCTCAACTATCATCTGACCCTTTAAGGTGGCCAAACCCTGCTGTACACAAGCAAACAGGGAGGTAGACTCCAGGCCATCAACACTCAGTGGTGGAAGAAATGACAGTAACGCCTTCTAATAAGTCCTCTGGGCAGAAATGGCCCTTAAAGGCCAACCTACTAAGTGAGGTGAAGGCATTCTATTTCCCTCACAGAAGGGCTCTTCCCCTAAACAAAAAGCACAGTATTGGGGACGGGGACGGGGACGGGGACATGGTAATAGGGATTAAAACTGTAAAAGGTCCATGAAAAAGGAATTGCTTTTAAACAGCCACATTTCAAATCCCAATTCTCCAGACTATGGTGCTACAGACAAGCAGAAATCTGAGGTTAACCCACCCCCAGCCCCATGGGTCCCTCTGGGCTAACAGAAATCCCAAGAGTTGGATGAGGAAGCCTGTTTGGCAGTCTGTGGCCCCGCAAGGTGCTTTGCAGCAGAAGGAATGAGTTGCAAAATCCTGCCCCGTCCTTTACCACACAAGAGCAGCAACAATCCCCCCAAGTGTCACCCTCTGAGCAGGGAACAAAAGATGGTCTCATCTGGGCCTATCTGAGATAAGCAGCCCTGGAACCATTCCAGGCCTCCTAGATCTCCACGTTCACACGAGCCCGTGTGCTTGACGGACTGGAGTGGGTGACCTCACAGCTAGTCCTTCAGGCTCCACAGAGGCACAGAATGCACCCACCCGAGGCACCTCGGAGACACTATCAAATGATGCAGGGGGGGGGGCAATTTCAGCAGGGGCAGCCTCCCCTGCAGGCATGCTAGCAAAGAGGACCTCGGACACACCCCTAGGAGGAAAAGTCTGTCTCCAGTGGAAGCTGTGAGCACCACCTGGCACTGAGCAAAGGTCAGGAGAAACCAGTTCAGGGCCTGACTAGCTAAATGACCTTGGGCAAGTCAGCATCTGCCATTTAAAATCAACTGGGGCAAACTCAATGGGCTGGGGCCAATGGAGCAGCAGCACTGGGAGAACGCCCTGATGTTACAAAGCTCTTCATAAGGGAACCCTCTTTCAAAAAAAACCCTCTTTTTGTTGGGCTGCAAACCTTGAGGTCTGCAGTTCGAAACCACCCAAGCTGCTCCTGGGGAGACAGGATGAGGCCTTCCAGTCCCATAAAAAAGTTACAGTCTAGGAAACTCACAAGGGCAGTTCCACCCTGCCCAAGAAAGTCGTTGGCTATGAGCCAGAACTGACCAGACAGCAGTGAGTGTGGTTTTATATGTGAAAAGGAGGCCTTGCGGTGCAGTGGTTGAGGAGACTGCTACAGTAAAGGTTACAGCACTGGAAACTCTGGGGCAGGCAGTGCGTTTGGCTTGGGCTTTTGTATGAAGAAAGCTGGTGTCACCGGGCAGCCTTGTGCAGCTTACCACTCAGAAGGGGACACTGTTTACAAACCCAGGGGTGGGGTTGGGGTCTGGTGACAGCCGAGGTAGTGAGAGTATGAATTCCATCCAGGCAAAGTATGAATTTGGCACCAGCGCTGCTGCCTCATCCCCAAAGTCCAAAGGAGCAACTTTGTCACAGTAATTAAAAGCCACCTTACTCTCCAGGAGCGAGAAGGAGGTTACATAATGTTCGTCTTGTGACTACAATGCCACGATTCTTCACCCCCGGGGGCCCCCCACGCGTCTGGGAGAGGCAAGACCCAGCGGCCGCCACCCCTGTCCAAGGTGCCGACAAGAAAGGGGCAGCGAAGTGCCCAGCCTGGCCTCTCCCTCCTGGGAAAACCGCGGGGCCCTGCGCCTCCACGTAGAAGGGTGGGTGGCAGAGGGCCCCAGGCCAGCCGTGTCGGCCACGCGCCCGGGGCTCCTTGCAAAAGCGAAAAAGGGCAGCTCCCAGGCTTTCGGCAAGACAGACGTGGCCTCTGATGACAAGTCACCCCGACGCACGAATGCCTCCACCGCCCTGCCTCCCCTTGAGGGCTCCCAGGGGCTCAGCGCTCCCCCGCCCCCGCCCCGCCGAGGCCAGCACCT